ATATTTCCCTTTCTGTTCATTTCTCTGACTATTCTTTGTCCAAGTTTTTATTAGGGTGATAGTCTTTTGCTTCATGCCCTTGTACTGTGTGTTGTAAATTTTTTTCCTCGGTTTATCATTATCTTTTTACTTTCCTTCTGTGTGTGTGTGTGTGTGCATGCGTGTGTGTGTGTGCACACATGTGTTCATGTGGTTAAATTCATGATTTCTGGGTTTTGAGCCATATATTCTTCACTTTGAGGTCGATGAGCAAAGCTCCTAAATTTTCTCCGTGGAGTTTCCATCTTTATTTTTTTAACAGTTTTATTAAAGAAGTATAATTGATATATGAAAAATTGCACCATAATTAATGCCTATAATTTGATGAGTTGGACATATGCATACGTCTGTGAAACTATTATCTTAGTTATGGTGATGGTTTCATGTAATGTGTGCTTTTATTTTTAAATTTTAAAAATTTTGTTTTAAAAATATTATCTGAGTGTGAAGAATCCAATTTACTTTTTTCCAGATGGCTATCCTCGTTCTGGCATTATTTGTTAAATAGTTCATCTTTTCCCCTCTGATCTGAGATGCCCTTTTTATTATATGCAAAGTTTCTGTATGTATTTGGATTTGTTTTTATTTTTTAATTGGAATTTTAGTTAGTTAACATATTGTGCAATATTGGTTTCAGGAGTAGAATTCAGTGATTCATCACTTACTTTCAACACCCAGTGCTCACAACAAGTGCTCTCCTTAGTACCCATTACTCATCTAGCCCATCTCCCACCCACCTCCCTCTGTCAACCCTCATTCTGTTCTCTATCATTAAGAGTTTCTTGTGGTTTGTTTTCCTCTCTCCTCTTCCTTCCACCTTTCCATATGTTCATCTGTTTTATTTCTTAAATTCCACATATGAATGAAATCATATGATTTTTGCCTTTCTCTGATTAACTTATTTCACTTAGCATAATGCATTTTAGCTCCATCCATGTTGTTGCAAATGGCAAGATTTCATTCTTTTTTGAGCTTTCTCCATATTTTGGCTATTGTTGATAATACTGCTATAAACATTAGGGTGCATGTACACCTTCAATTCTGTATTTTTGTATCTTTGGGTAAATACCTACTAGTGCAATTGCTGGGTCATATGGTAATTCTTTTTTTTTAACTTTTTGAGGAACCTCCATACTGTTCTCCAGAGTGGCGGCACCAGTTTGCATTCCCACCAGCAGTGCAAGAGGGTTACCTTTTCTCTGCATCCTTGCCAACAACTGTTGTTTCCTGAGTTGTTAATTTTAGCCATTTTGACAGGTGTGAAGTGGTATCTCATGTGGTTTTGATTTGTGTATCACAGTAGAACAGATCAATGAAACTAAGAGCTAGTGTTTTTTGTAAGAATTGACCAAACTGATAAACCCTTAGCCAGACTTACCAAAAAGAAAAGAGAAAGGACTCACTAGGTAAAATCACTAGTGAAAGAAGAGAGATCACAACCAACACCACAAAATACAAACAATTATCAGAGAAATCTATGAAAAGTTATATGTCAAAAAATGGGAAATCTGGAAGAAATAGACAAATTCCTAGACACTCACAAACTACCAAAATTGAAACAGGAAGACATAGAAATTTGAACAGACCCATAGCCAGCAAAAATGTTGATTCCGTAATCAAAAATCTCCCAACAAACAAGAGTCCTAGACCTGATGGCTTTCCAGGGGAATTCTACTTTACTTTAAAAAGAAGGGAAAAAAAAGATAGATATAACAGAAGTTGGTGAGGGTGTGGAGAAGTTGGAACCCTCGTATATTGCTGGTGGGGATGTAAAAATGATGTAACCATTTTTTTGAAAGCAGATAGTTCTTCAAAAAGCTAAACATAACATTCCTTTATGAATCAACAATTCTGTTAGGTATACACTTAAGTGTTGCTTCTGCTCCATTATCTCTCTTCTATTCTTCTGCAACTCCAGTTATGCTATGTTAAACTTGTTTACCTTATCTCATATATATAATATATGTAGTATTTATTTGTGTTTTATATTATATGTTAGGTAAGTCATATACTTTACATATATATGTTTTATGTATATATAATATGCTTTTCTTTATTTTCCATCTTCTTGTCTCTCTGAGTTTTGCTTTGAAATATTTTCTGACCTATCTTCGAGTTCTGTCTTCAGATGTATCTACTATGATAATAAACCTGGTTATTAATTTCTTAATATTTTTTAGTATTTTTAGTATTTTTTAGTTGGAAAATTTTCATTTGGTTCTTTTTTTATACTTTTCAATTTCTTACCAAATCTTTTAATCCTGACTATTATGTCCTTGATCATAATAAAGTTTATTTTTAATTGCCACTGAACAATATAAAAGACCTGTATAAATGGAAAGACATATCACATTCAACATCCAACATGGAGCTTGCACTCACCACCCTGAGATCAAGAGTCGCATGCTCTACTGACTGAGCCAGCCAGGTGTCCCATCTGTCTTTTTGAGTATAGCCATTTTAGTGGGTGCACATTTTTCAGTAGCAATTAAAAAAAACTTTTTATTTCAAAATAATTATAAATCTGGAGGAAGTTGCACAAGTAGTACAGTCCATGAATCATTCTGTTACCAGAATGGTAACAGCTTACACAACTTTAGTAAAATGTCGAAACTAAGAACTGACATCAGTACCATACTATTAATTAGGCCTAATCTAGATTTCACCAGTTTTAAGATGCTATGCTGTTATGGACTACACGTTTGTGTCCCCCAGCCAAATTCATTATGTTGAAATCCAACACCCAAAGTGATACAATTAGGAAAGAATTGGATTTAGGTAAGTACTTTAGGGTGGAGCCTTCATAATGGGATTAGTGTCTCGTAAAAAAAGGAAGTGACTAGTGCTCTTTCTCCCTTGCTGTGAGGATACAGCAAGAGTGCAGCCATCTGCAAACCAGGGAGAAGATTCTCATCAGACACGGAGTCTGCTAACATCATGCAAAGGGATTTGTCAAGAAGGCAGTTGGATAAAAGATTTTGGAGCTCAGAAACTGGAAGGGCCTCATGGTAAAAATTTGACACTGGGCTTTATACCTGTATGGATGTCACATAGGTAACATTTAAACCATAGAAATGAATAAGGTCACCTAGGGAGAAAGATGAGAGCCGGGCAATACCCTGAAGCATGCCAACGTTCACAGCCTGATTGGAGGGGACAGACTGCAGAGAGGTAGGAGAGAGAGAGCAAGAGAGGCCATTTCCTGGAAGCCCAGGGAAACTGTATGCCTCAAGGACAAGGAAGTAGTTATCTGTCCAATACCATGGAGAGGACAAGCAAGATGAAGACAGGAAACAAAAAAAACAAGTCTATTCTATTTGGCATTTTAAAAAAATGTTTACTCATTTTTTTTTTTTGAGAGAGAGAGAGGGTCAGGGAGGGACAGAGAGAGAGGGAGGCACAGAATCCGGCTCGAACTCACAGAATCGTGAAATCATGATCTGAGCCCACTTAACTGACAGATGCCCCTACTTGGCAATTTGAAAGCATTTCATCACGTTTTAATCTTTCTCACCTCTCCACAGAAATCTTTTTTTTTTTTAATGTTTTATTTATTTCTGAAAGAGAGAGAGACAGCGTGAGCAGGGGAGGGTCAGAGAGAGAGCGAGACACAGAATCTGAGGCAGGCTCCAGGCTCCGAGCTGGCTGTCAGCACAGAGCCTGACATGGGGCTCAAACCCACGAACCGTGAGATCATAACCTGAACTGAAGTCGGACTCTTAACCGACTGAGCCACTCAGGCGCCCCTCTCCACAGAGATCTTTAATAAATGGCAAAAGACTTATGCTATCTGAAGAGAAAAACCAGAGCGCGCATTTGATCGTTTTCCCTCAGAAATAAGCTCGGAGAGAAGCGCTGCCCTCCGCGCGGTAGAGGCGGCCTGCCCTTTGACCCCCACACGTGCACACACGCGCACCCTGTCAAGTGCTAAAGGCGAAGCGGTCGGGGTGATGTTTCCATTTCTTTTCTTTTCGCCTCTCTGTGTTTCCTCGTCTCTCTACAACAGCGAGTGTTCTGTGGTAATTTAAAAAACCCGTCGTGTGAGGTGATCGTGCCGGCGTGACCCGCGAGCACCACGCGGCCGGCCGGGCAGCACGCCTTGGGGGTGCCGTTCCTCCCTGCCCGCCGTGACGGAGAAGCAACAGCAGGAATGATAACGGAGAGCCTGTGCGGCTCCTTGGGCCTCCCGTCGGCTTTGTTCTGGGCTGCGGAGCCGGAGCCCCCCTCAGTCCCCCCCCCGCCCCCCGGCGGGGCTCTGCGGTCTGAACCGAGGGGCGGAAAGACCTGACGGGCGCTTCACCGTAGCCCCCGGGACGCTGGCTGCTGGCGGGCCTGGGTTGCTATAGTGGACTGTTTACTTTAGAAGCGCCTTTTATCCTGGGTCTCTAGACCCGCGCTGGGGGGGAGGGTGGAGTTAATTAGGCCTAGAGGAAGGGCCTCTGCAGGGTGGAGCCAAGGTGGCAGAAGGAGAACACTTTAAATAAAGGGCCCACACTGGCTGCCCAGGAACCCATCGTCCACCTCCTCCGTGTCTGTCAGTGAGAAGGAGCCGCGGCCGCAGCCCGACGGACACGATGGAGCCCCAGGAGTACAGAGAGCGAGGTGAGCGACAGGCACCCCCGTTGCCCTGCAGCGGCTAGTGCTGGTGACCTGCCCTTAGGTTTTGGGGGGGGTCATTTGGCTGGAGCCCCAGAATTGCCCTCTGCGGGGTGGCTTCCCCCCAGTGTTTCCTGAGAAGCGAATGTGGGACGGGGATTGAAAACTGTTCTGACGGTCTCTTTCATCCTGCGCCTCACACGCCCCCCTCCCATCCATCCACTCGCGCGCGCGTGTCGCCCTTTTCCCGTCCACGTTCCCACAGGCACAGGACTCGGACTCCCCGTCCACGAAATGGGACAAGAATTCATATTCTGAAGTGGCGGAAAAACTGCCCCCCCCCCCCCCCCGATTCTGTCGTCGCTGCAAAATCCTCTCCTTATATTCGGTTCTGGGTGGCTCTCTCAGCACTGTTCTTTCATGTAGTCCTTCATTTCATAAATATTCACTGAGCAGCTACTCGGTCGCAAGCCCCTGTGTGGTGAGAAGGGAGCCGTGGTTAACCCGTCTGCAGGCGTGGCTCGCCAAGGGGGGCAGTGGGTAGTTGCTCACCGTTTTTCTCCCTGTGGCTTTTTCCATCCTCATCCCGGCTGGTAGGTTATGTCGTCTAAAATGTCTCTGCTGTAAGGTATTGTCCCGTGTGAAATGCAACTTCTCGGGCTCCTCCGCCCAGACGGAGCTCACCAAGGGGCTGGCAGCCTTTACCCCATGCGCTGGCTTACTCCATCCACTGCTTCCCAAAAGTCTGAGCAGCTTCCCGTAGACCTCCATCCTGTGCGGGGAAAGCAAGTACATCTCAGCCGCCGCTGGACAAGTGGAGGGCTGGACTAGTGCTTCAGGGCTCAGCGGGGGTGCCACCTCAGTGCCAAGAGGCGGCGGCTGCCTGAGGTGTGGAGGAGAGCACAGAGGGAAAGGTGTCCAAGTCCCTCTGTCTCCTTCACAGTGTTTCCTGGAGCTGGTCCTGCTCATGAGAATCCTTAGACAAGCTGGTGCAGAGGCAAGAAATAGGATTCCCTCTCCTTTTCTCTATTTTATTTTATGTTTTCAAGGAGAGAAAAACCTCAGGAGCACTATGGAGGAACTATTAGGTCTTGAGGGAGATGGACAGAGAGAGGGAGACAGACACACAGGGACAGAGAGGGAGAGACTTGTAGCAAGAGACAGGCACTGTCCTGGGGAAAAAATAATTTACAGAGGCTTCAGAGTATTTGAGTTGACTCTTTTTCTTCCTTATTTATCTGGTCATACATTTGACAATTTTTTTTTCTTGAGCATCTAAGAAATTGAGGTGTTGGTGCAAACAAAGGGAGAGAAGTCGAGTCATTAAGACGTGGTCTTGCATTTCCCCAAGACTTCAGGCTAGTTCAGCGTTCTTAGTCTGGGTCTGTGGTTGTGCTTTCAGGACCCCCTGAACTGCAGAAATTATACACCAGATTGTTTGTGTGTGCAAGCCAATCATTTTCATCAGATTCTCAAAGAAGCCCATGGGTCCAAAAGTGAGGAATTTACTGGTCCAATGGGAATAGTGAACAAGTAGAATTTCCAGCTTGTATCAGAAGCTGGCATGGGAATTTAGGGTGTGTGTGTGTGTGTGTGTGTGTGTGTGTGTATAACAATTTTTGGATAGAAAAAGCCACAGCGTTTCTACTAAACCTGGAAGGTAGTGAATTAATTAGATGTTCTGTTTTTGAGAAGGAAAGAAAGGTAAGAGAGACAATCAAGATGGATATGGATAAGGGAAGGGGGAGAAAAAGGAGGTATTTTACTTTGGTGCTAGAATTTTACACTTCAAGATTTTCAGTCTGTTCATTTGTTCACTCACACACTGCCCCCATCATTCATTCATCTTACTTATTTTTTCATTCTTTTTAAACATTATTATTTTAAGTAATCTCCACACCTGATGTGGGACTTTAACCCATGACCCCGAGATCAAAAGTCACACACTGTACTGACTGAGCCAGCCCCACCCTCACTTTATTTTTTAAATTCTGAGGACAAGGTTGATGCTGGGGATTGGACCCTTCCCCATCAGCCCACGAATCCATCTCCATCTTCACCAAGTCTGTTGGCCCTGACTCGAGGGGGTCGGACATGAATTGGCGAGGCCCAGATGGGGGACATGAAGCTGGTTTCTCCTCCTCCTTTGTAGGAAAAGAGATGGTGGATTACATCTGCCAGTACCTGAGCACCGTGCGGGAGAGGCGGGTGACTCCAGACGTGCGTCCTGGTTACCTGCGAGCCCAGCTGCCTGACAGTGCTCCTGAGGAACCTGACAGCTGGGACAGCATCTTTGGGGACATCGAGAGAATCATCATGCCTGGGGTGAGACACAGTCACCACAAAGATGGTTCAGAGTTTTAGGGCAGAGGAGGTGGGGGGCCAGTAGGCCTGAGGAGAGGCCTGCCTCGGGTAACTTGGGATGCCCTGCTCCTTGTACACCAACACGCAAGCCTGTCTTATAGGCACATAGAGGGCCAGAATTGTGACTGAAAGTAGGTTTCTGATGTCAGGGCTGACCTGTAGTGCTGGGTGGGAGGCTGGAGGGAATCAACACTTCACCCCAGGGCCTAGCCTGACGGATGTGTGGAAATCTAATGGGGTGAGGTGAGAATGCAAACTGGGTCTGAGGGTAAAGGCCAATGTGGATAGCATGACAGAGAGAGGAGGCTGGAGATAGTCCCTGAAGCCCCAGCTGGGAGAGCCAGGGACTCTCCTACAGAATGCTGTGACTCACTGAAGGGAGGGAAGGAGGCCTAGAATACACTTTCTGTGAGGGCACCCTGTCAGGTAGGGAGGCCCAGAATGCTGAGTGAGGCTGGAACCACGTCCTTCCCTATGGGGGGTGGGGGGGGGGGTGTCTCGTGATTGAGGTGCTTTTCAAGAGTAAGAAGGAGCTTTCCAGTGACAAAGAGCACTGGCTGGTGACAGCACTGGCAGGGCCAGGGAACAGACAGAGGCTGGCTGGCGCTTGAACTGGAGCCCACCTCTGTGGTCTGTGGCGCTGTCCCTGGCTGCCAGGGACGGGGAGCTGTTCCAAGATGCTCATGTTAAAGTGTACCAGTCCCCTTCCCACAGAAGGGCTGCTTTTTACTGAGCTCTGTGCCACATGCCAGGCACTGGATGAGCCCCATTACAGGCTAGCCTGTTTCATCCCACAGTGAGCCTACAATCCCTGTTTTAGAAATGAGGAAACTGAGGCTCCGGGATAGCAATTGTTTTCTCAAAGTTACAGAATTTGTGGCTGGCAGATCCAAGATGTTAGCCCAGGCCAGTCTTAGTCCAAAGGCTCTGCTCTTTATCCTGTACTAGTATCTCTACTAGTGTGTGACTGAATACTCAGCCTGAGCCTGCCCCCCCCCGGCACTGACCTTCAGCAGCACCTCAACAAGCAGGCTGTTTGCACTGTGCCTGCTGGGGTCACTGGTGTCCTGAACCACACATGTCTAGTTCGTTCTTTCTTTCTTTCTTTCTTTCTTTCTTTCTTTCTTTCTTTCTTTCTTTCTTTCTTTCTTCCTTGTTTCTTTTTGAGAGAGAGAGAGTGTGGGAGGAGAGGCAAAGAGATTGGGAGACAGAGGATCTGAAGTGGGCTCTGTGCTGTCAGCACAGAGCCTGACACAGGGCTCAAACTCACAAACTGTGAGATCATACATGACCTGAGCCGAAGTTGTATGTTTAACTGACTGAGCCACCCAGGGGCCCCTGAACCACATGTGTCTAGAGACTTTCCGAGGATGACTTGAGATTTGCAACCGTCATCCTCTAAGAGATTTAGATGTGTCAGAAATGTGCCTGGAGGCAGGGTTGATAAATTATTCAGACTCCGCATAAGTGTCTACAAACGTATTGGTTGGCAAGTTTGTACAAAGCCAAATACACAGTTTTATTTGACCACTCAGCCTATTTCATAAGCACCTTTTGAAAATTTCCATATCGTAAAGCTTTACCAAGGAAGCTAACTCTCTGATAAGATTATCTCATGGATTTCATTCTGTAAAGTGTAATCTCTTGAGGGGCCAACTGTAATTTGGTAGTGAGACTCAGAGCAACTGTCCGGAAGAGGCAGAAATGAGCTGATTTGTTTGATTGCAATTCCAGCAGTTGCTGGGGGGGCAGTGGGGGGTGGGTGGGGGTGTGGGCAAAGAGGCTCATTTCTGGACCCAGAGGTCTGCCTGTTTTTGATAAGGTTCCTCTAGCTTATCTAATCATATTTATCTTGCAAGAACAGATAATTGCCTCTTGATAGGGCTAGGGAATGGAAGCCCTTCTCTGGGGTTTCCAAAATACCGTCACTAAGGACACCGATAATGAGGGCCTCGTCTTCCATCTAATCTCGCAGGCTGTACCAGACTCTGAGAGATGGCCTGAAAGCAGTTGGTCCTTTGCTTTCTCATTCTGACCAGTCTCTCACTGAAGACTGGATTGATTTTTCGCTCCCTGCCATCTCCCAGACACAAACAATAACTGTCCTGCTTTAATTCCAACTCTGGTTAGAAAAACTTCCTCTACTGGGGGAGCCTGTGTGGCTCAGTTGATTAAGCGTCCAACTCTTGATTTTCATTCAGGTCAGGATCTCACAGGTTGTAGGTTCGAGCCCTGCATTGGGCTCTGTGCCGACAACATGGAGCCTGCTTGGGATTCTCTGTCTCTCCCTTTCTCTCTGCCCCTCCCCACCTTGAGTACATGATTGTGTGCTCTCTCTCTTTCAAAATAAATAAACATTAAGAAAAGAAAGAAAGGAAAACCTTTTCTCCTCTTCATATGGGAGAGAGAGCAGCACAGTGAGAGAAGGCAGGACACTATCCTGTTTAGGAGATTGGGCTGTGGGGTTAGACAGCCTGGGATTTCTGTCTTGGCACTATTATCTGTGTCTGTGAGGTGTGTGTGATCACAGGATGCTGCTTCACACTCGCCAGCCCCCTTTCTCATCTGTAAAAACAGGGGTAATGATAGAACTTACCTCATAGGGGTCTTGTGAGAATTAAGATAAAGCATGGAAAGGGGAAGATATTGTTACATAGAACACATTTTGCCTGGTGAAAATTGGAGGAAGAGGTCTGATTATCTAAGAGTCAAGTCAGGATAAATGATGTGTCTATCATTGGGTGGCTAACGTACCGTGAACATTAGTGCTTTCCATTTGGCAAATTTCTTCCTAGACTGATCCACATGATAGCCCCAGGAAACAAGATTTATTTTATGATGAGAAACTGAGGTCAAGAAAGGTGCAGGGGAGGATCATGTTTTTATGGGGTCTGAATCACATATAAATTTTGAGACCTGTAAGAAAATAAAATTAAGTATGATTCTTAGAAAAGATCCATGCAAACGTGGGCCTTGGAGCTTAAGCCTATTAACTTTACTATAAACCTACAAACTCACACATCTGGTTAGGGACACGGAAAGACAAACCTGTGTCCTTGGACTTTAATTGTATGTTCCTCCTACCACAGACACTGTCTAGGACACTACCTTTGTTAGTGAGGAATAAAAAGAATTTATGCATACCAAATAGCTCACTAATGATACACTAAGATGTTGACTAATGAGTTCTCAGTAGGTGGAACATCTATCTAGAATGAGAATGTTCCATGGGTTCAGGGAAAGGATCAAAGCGGGGTGGGAACTGGGGCAAGGTTTGTGGAGGAAATGGGTATTCAGTACCTTTCTAAGAATTAACAGGTTTTGAAAGGTCCTGTCAATATGGGAAGTGCCTTCCTGTCCGGGGACATAATATTGCTCAAAAACATGAATGCAGAAATGAAAAGGGCATGTTCATAAAACAGGGAGATGCAGTCAGATTAGATAATCAATAAATCTCATGAGCCTGTTAGAGTGGGGCCCTGTCTGTCCAGCTGGCTCCTGCTTACATCCGGTTCTTCAACCTGACTGTGGGCTCAGGGGTTAACTTTGAGGTAGGGGTACCATGCACTCAGGTTGGCACTTCCCCTGCCCTTTCTCTCTTTTCACCACCCTGCTTGGGAAGCTAAGGACAACTTTGAATCCATGTACCCTGATCCTGTGCAGGAGCTGTGTGCCCAGAGAGCTCAGAGAGCTCCAAAAAACAAAGGATGGTTTTTTTTTTTTCCCACAAGACACTGGATGAGACAGGCAACCTATTCTCCTAGAGCTCATAGTCTGCTTCCTCTTTATTACTGGGCAGAGTGGCATGAGGGAGAAGCACTGGAGACTAATGTGCACACTATCCAGAATCCACAACCTTAATTACCATACCAATTTTCATTTTGCATATTCCCTTCTGGCCTTAGCATGTGTACAAAAGCTCCACTGACGAAGCAGCTTAGAATATGAGGAGTGCGGGTGGCAAGAACACTACATTTATTTTTATGGAGTTGTGTCATTTACTTGACTGTCTTAAAAGTGTCAGCTCATCTCTAGAGTGGGTGCCTCCCCCTGCCAAGGAGGGTCTCTGGTAGAGGAAAGCCTCCCAGAAAGCCTCCTGGTACCACACATGTACATGCTCTGCCTCCAGGTCGTACACTGGCAAAGCCCCCACATGCATGCCTACTACCCAGCTCTCACCTCGTGGCCATCACTTCTGGGAGACATGCTGGCCGATGCCATCAACTGCTTGGGATTCACCTGGGTGAGTAACCATGGCTGTAGCTGTAAGCAGTGGCAACTTGCAGAAGGTGACATCCTGAGGCAGACACATTTTGTCCTGATCTCTGAAATGGGTTCTAAGTTAAATATTAACAATGGCCACATTCTTTCAGCTTAAGCTCTATATAAATTACCTCATCTGATCCTTTAACCCTGTGGAATTATGAATAGTGGCCCATTTTGTAGATGAAGAAATTGAGGCTTAAGTAACTTATCTCCCTAGGATCATACAGCTCATGGAGACAGAGATGAGATTTGGAATGAGATCTGGTTATTGCCACGGTTTGTGATCCTAACTAAGCCCTTTGGTGCCTGTGGGTACGGCTTTCCCTGTGCTCTCGTCTTTGAGGGGTTAGGGATATAGCCTCGGACTTCCCTTAATAACCCCCTAAGCACCAAGCAGCTTTAAATTGTATCAGAAAGCCTCCTAGAACAGCTTTATATTGTAAGCCTGAAGGAAGGGTGTGTTGTGGGGAGGAAAGGCTGAGAGGAGTGAGGGGGGAGTGTTGCTGTCTTTTCCAGGAAGGAGTGCTTTCTTTCTTAGTCCTAAAACTTGCCCCTGGCCTTCAGAAATCTGCTCGGTTGGGTATTTTGGGGACTAGGGAAGCCAAATGGAAGCAA